TTTGTTTTTTGAAAAGCAGAGGAAAGATGGGTATGTTGATGGCAGGATACAGGCACCTAGTACCACTGACTCAGGTTATTGACCAATGGGAGATTACCAACTCTTTGATTATGAGTTGGCTTATCCATTCGATGGTTCCAGAACTTGGTGAGGGCTACTTGTCTATGGAGACTGCCCAGGACATTTGGGAGGCTGTGGCTGTTACCTATCCCGCCCAAAAGGAAATTTTTCACAGAGCATTTGAGTTGCGTCGCTCTATGAGAGCTCACTTCAGGGGGAGCAGAATGTTCTTCAGTACTTCACTTTCCTCACCAACGACTGAAACGCCCTTGACCACCGGAAGACTATAAGCCCGTTTGCCCTACTGATTCTGTCGGGTACAAGAAGTTCATCGCACGGGAACGGGTCTTTAAATTTGTTGGCCGGCCTAAATATGGAGTATGATCCAGTTAAGGGTCGAGTTCTGAGTATGGACACTCTTCCTTCACTGCAGGAGGCACATTTGCCTATGTACAAAATGAGGAGAGTCGTCGGTCTGCTATGATGTCCCCTATCTCTACTGACCGTTCCGCATTACTATCTACTCCTAGAGATGGCCTCATCCTGCCTCCTCCGTCTGCTGCTAAGGAGTCTGTATTCTGTGATTATTGCCAAGAAGACGCAAGGGTGTGAGATCTTGTACTCAACATCCTATCTCAAACTTTGTGTCCCACTCTCATTTGTCTTCCTTTTATAGAGCCTTTGTGTCAAACATTTCCTCTGTTAGTATTCCTAACCATTTTGAGGATGCTCTCACTACCTCTGAATGGAAACTTGCCATGATTGAGGAAATGAAAGCACTTAGGAAGAATGGTACTTGGGAATTGACTGAGTTACCTACGGGCATACGACCTGTGGGCTGTAAATGGGTATATACTGTGAAACACAAAGCAGATGGGTCTATTGAGCGTTACAAGGCAAGACTTGTGGCAAAAGGGTTTACTTAGACATATGGCATTGATTATCAGGAGACCTTCGCACTCGTGGCTAAAATGAATTCAGTCGG